CGTTTGAGCTAATTTTTGTCTTCCAGAAACTTAATGCAATGGCTGATTCCTAATAGCTGCTCAAAACATGTATGCTGCTGTCAAACTGAGTATGAGCAGATAGTTCAATCACAACATTCTATCTCATGTCTTACTAAATGGCATCTGATCGGTCATAATGTAATCGATGTTCTGAATACTAATTACCACTATTCTGTTGTCTACATTGGTATTTCTTTAAATACAACAGGTTTTATAATTAATTGCACAATCCTAATATTCAAATTAATAGGCAGAATATTTCAAAGAGTACTTCACATAAATCTCCTCTTTCTCTGCATCGGAACTGTGAAAATTCTCCCTCTGGCTGGAATGTTTTTCTTCTCCCTATTTGCTTAATAAACTCACACTGATCTTCCAAGTCGAGCTTCACAGTGATTCCCCAAGGAACTCTTGCCTGACCTCTCCACCCTGTTGTATACCAGCACTAATGTTCACAGCAGCCTCTACCTTTCCTTCCTAGAGCTTGGCTAAGTAAAATTTGAGTGAACATTTACATAATTATTTTTTCTTTTCTATCAGATGGAATTCTTTATAAGAGTAAAGATCATTTCAACATTATCTTGTGCCATTCATTCAAATGAAAATTTATTACAAACCTAATAGGGAATAGACACTGTACTAGGAACTGAAGTAAAACAGTGAGGTAGACAGACAAATCTCCCTGCTCTAAAGTCTGCAACCAAGAAGACAAATAGAAGCTATCCGATAATGATAAGTGCTATGAATAAAATAGGAAGTTCAATGGTGGGTAAAGAGTTCAAGGACACAATTTAAAACTGAGAAGTCGCAGAGGACTTCCCTGGAAAGATGTTATTTGAGCTGGTTCCCAATGGGTGTTCAATTACTATTTGTAGAAGGGAAGAGAAGTCCATGGGAAGGAGAGGGGGAAAAAGGAAAGAGGAAAACTAACCAACTCGGTCTGTATATAATGTTCTTTTGCAAAAGTATTCATGCCTGTGGATTCTTATCTCAAGGTGAAGGACTGGTGGTGTTCTTCTTTGGGCCTGGTGAGTAAGGGGCAAAGATAATGGGGGAAAAGGCATGTGCACTTTCTCTCTGGGATATAAAATTAAAACATCTTTCAGATTTATGAGAATAGCAGGTTTGGAATTTTTGTCACCTCTGATTGAACTGACAATATGTGGGACCAGGACAGATGGGAGGAGGGTGAGTCATAGGAGAGCTGACATCAGGAGCCACCCTCGGGTCCCATTTTTCAGTGCTTCTGGAAAGTTAGTTTTTTAAATGATGAGAAGAAAAGAGAGTGGAACGTTGACCAAAATCGTATCTCTATCATTGCTGTGAAAGTTTTCTTCTTTGAGGCAGGTGCAGAAAAAGACCTAGACTCCCCCTGGATGACCTGGACATGCAGCATCTAGCAGGTCAATAAAAAGGTCTTGGCTTCTGTCATCAAGACCAAACCTCCATGTTCTCCACTGAACCTTGGAGCCAAAGGGCCTCACAGCTGTGAAGTCAGGGAGAAGATTATATAGTGGTGCCATTTGCCATTAATATTCAGACTTAGTTCTTAAAATAATCATAGCAAGTTTCTTCTATGTTCTTAAAATAAATTCTCATGTCAATAAATAGTATCCGATGCTCCGAAAATGAAATGGTGGGGCAAAAAAACAACATTATAGGCAAATAATAAAACTGGCACTTTTTCTTTTTGAACAATTATGAATCAAATCCCCTGTTGTGTAAGTGACCATGACCCTAAACTGTCTTTGTAATAGCTCTTTAGATGGACATACAGCCTTAAAAAAAACCCTAGTCTTAGTAACCTAGGCTTTAAATAAACAGCTATTCAGAAAGTTAAAAGCAAAAAGCCTGGGGGCTGGGGGGGGTGAGTCATGGAATCACTCCAAGTATAAGGAGTAAAGGAATATGAGAAGACAAAGGGAAAGCAAGGTATTTGGGAAGTACAGATAGGACCAGAAAAGTGGGGAGTGAGAAGTGAGACTTCAAGCCAGCAGTAGCATCTCATTTGCCAAAACCTCAGGGGCTCCAATGAATAATACTCTGAAAGTGCAAAACATTATTATAAATGCATTAGGCTAATAACAGAGCAACCTCCTATTTGGGTAAAATACTTGGATGTAGATAGTAAGTTCTGAGATAGAGGAAAACATTTTATTTAATTAGTGGAAGTCTGATTATCTCCGGATGTGTTCCATTAGTGTGCCTTGGTTATCAGGGTGTATCCATCATCAAGAGGTTGGCTTAGCAAGTCTATTTAGTGAGTTCCATCAGAGCATATTTCTGCTTAACTGCTTGTGGCCAAGTTTCAGGGATCTAGGCCCTAGTAGTTTTCAGGTTGCTTCACATACACTTCGGTAGTTTGTCAGCGCAGTAGTAGCAGCAGAGAGTTTCCCATACATGTGTGCCTTAGCCCACAGTTAACAGGAGGTGAGAAATCAGGCAGAGATGCCTTCCAGAACTGAGAGGGCCTCTTGGCATTTCCCTGGCAGCCTCATGCTTATCATCAGCCAGAACCCAGGCACTCATTAGGCTCTTGATGAAAAGCATCCCAAAGAAAATGCCAGCAAATTGTGCCACTGTGCTGGCAGGAAATTAAAACTGCTCAGAGCAAGTGGAGCCAAGAGAGCTGTTGAAATAAAAGGTAACATCCAGGGTGTGATCACTGACTTACACAGGCATTCAGGATTCAAGATGCGGCGTTCTGCTTCGCTGGGGAAAGCAGGAGTTCTCTCTTGGCTTGTCAGCCGCAGTCAGTCCAGCAGAGTAGCTGAGATGGGCCGGGCGAGGAGGTGGGCTCAGTGAGTTAAGCTCTGCTGTGCTTGAGTAAATGCTTGGGGTTTGGGTTGTTTTCTTTCCTCAAAGATGACTCTCCTAAGAGAAACAAAAATAAGAAAAAATTTTATTTAGGTTCTGTTTCTATTCCTGCTCCCAGGCATTTAAGATCAAATTAAGTAAAAGAATAACTCCAAAAGCATGACAGGTCCAATAAGGGGGCGGGGGGGGGGGCAACAGCGTGGAGAGGAGCAGGCAAAACCTCAGAACCTAAGAATCCAGCAACGGGACAGATGAAGGGTTCTTTTAATACTAGAGAAATTGTTTTGTTGGTGATGTTACTTTCCTCCTGAGGCTGAAATGGCCTTCAGAGACGGGAAGAAAGGTAGGTGCTCAACACACAGACAAAGTACACTGAAATTTTCATCACACTGGGTGCAACAGGCAGCATAGTGAAGCACTGCTCTGGTGTGCTTACCTGCTTCTCCAGCCAAGTCTGACACCACTCTCATCCTTGCTTGAAGTGTTCCAGCTACCCTGGCCTTTGTTCATTTTCTGAATATGACATGTTTGCTCCAATCTCGGGACGTTTACGCTATCTGTTCCTTTGGCCCATTGGAATTTTTCTTTACAGATTTGCCTGTTGGGAAATGGCATCTGGGTCTTGCGGTTTCCCTGAATGTGAGCACAGGAGAGTCCAGAGAAAGAGTGCTAATATTTTATTTCATTTTAACCTTTATTTTATTATAACTTTTTTATATTATAACCTTATTAACCCATTATTTTTTATAACCTATGTTCATGATTTGAGAAAACCACAGACCCACCTGTCCTGTATAGAAAGCTAGAAAGCTATGGATGGTAAGAAAATGCCTGGTGTCGTTACCTCTGTAGATGTAAGTGTTACTGCAAGTTGAAGCAATTGTAATCACAGTGCTTTGTTTTGTTTTTCTTGAAGAAATTCATCTTGGGCTGTTATATTTGGAAATGCTTTTAGTGTTAGTAAATGTCTTATTCCACCCCAGGACCTCGCATGCTCTGTGAATTTTAATTCCTTTTGAAGGGAGGATTTGATGCGCATGCACAGCTCTTAGCATATACTCTGCACATACATTAGCTTCGTGTGTTCTGAACCAATACCAACTATGAACCCTTTGTCTGGATAAACACTTAAGCTTCTTCAGTTCCTAAAGTCTGCCATCTTTACAATGAGTTCTTTTGCATTTCACAAGTCTCTTCTCAGGGTCTTCAAGGTCGCCTTTGTTTTCCTCTTGTATAAAACAGTTTCTGCAGATTATTTTTATAGTGAGAGCATAAAGTATTGTTGAAGTTTGGTTCTATTGAAAATCATTGGTCTATTCAGAGGAGCCCTTAGCATTTTTAATCTTTCACAATAACCTACGATTTTGGTGCTTACATGTGAGCAAAATTCATATCTCAGTTGTGTAACAGTCCAGGGTGGGCATGTCTGGTCCGTGGATGGCTTTCCCCCATCCCCTAAAGCCTCAGAACTGTTTGCATCCAGCCAGCCAATTGGGAGTGTAAAGAAGATGCGCCAGTTTCTTAAAGGCATGACCTGGAATTCACATCGTTTTTGCTCAAATTCCCTTAGTGAGAATTTATCTCAAGACCATCATTAGATAAAAAGGGGATGAAGAACTGTTTTCCCTGAGTAGGCAGCCATTCCCAGTGATAAAATCGCCACGTGAATGGGGAGTACAAATATTGTTGAGTAGCCAGCTGTGTCCTGTCACAGAGACTTATGTAAATACCTCAGTGCCATATGATGCTTCAGTTGTCAATCAAATGTAATGCTCAGTCATAGAAAATACATGTCTCCTTCTTGGTTACCCTATGTGCTTTTCGCTGTTGTAATGGTCCCTTTATTATATACTCCTATAGACAGGGTATTTCCTTGCTTACGTGTTCTCATCATTTTTATTTGTTCAACTATACTAGGCTTAATAAGGGTAGGACCATTGTCACCTTTACTCCCCAGTACCCAACATAGTGTCTACCACAGTGCCTCATTTAGAAGAAACTTCATGAGTTATTCTGAATGAACGAGTGTACTAAATTTCCACTGCAATGTATTATCTCTTAAAATACATTCTATGTTTCAAGCTCGTCATGGTCATTTTTAGATTGGTTGGTAAGCTGAATAAATCAAACAAAAATTAAGTCTTCTTTCTCCCTTCAAAAAGGACATGATGCCATTGTCACACTCCTGAAGCATTATAAGAGACCACAGGATGAATTGCCCTGTAATGAATATTCGCAGCCTGGAGGAGGTACCGCCTTTCTTGCTGTTTTTTTGTTGTTAAAACAATACTGTGCTTGAAGGTAAACCTGCATTTCTATTACTGCCATTCAGGGATGAGAAAGGAGAGCATGTCAGATTAGCTTTATTTGAAGAAAATTTATGGCTGGGTGAGGCTGCATATATATACAGCCTCCACTTAGGCTGTTTTCTAACTCACCAAACTAAAGCTCCTTCAAGTTCAGCGCTCCCTGGACTGGATGTTTGTGAGGCTTGTTCATGACTGGGAAGGGCTGGGTAAGCTGACAGCAGTCATTTTCCATTTCAGTAACCTATTAAGGCAGGACAGAGGATACTCACATCCAGACACAAATTAAATCTGCTGCAGTCTGCTAGACCTTGGATTTTTAATCTTTTTATGTGGTTTCTAGGTAAACACTTGCTGTACAGTTTTAGTATCCAGAAAAGGCCTGGATTTAAGCTATAGTCTCACTTGGTTTTCTTAGCAAATTTGTCACCTGCTTTTTTCTTTATAATGTTTAGCTTTTATGCAGAAAAAATACCGATTGCTACTTTTAACGCTGTGAACTAATTTGATTTCTAGATGGCTCCTATGTGTCTGTTCCATCTCCCTTGGGGAAAATTAAAAGCATGACAAAAGGTATTTTAAAGTGGTACAATTGTTATATTTTATTACCAGGGATAACTATTGCCTCAACTGTGATAACTTTCTATTTTGTTTTATATATTATAAATGATGACTTTTGTAAGCATAAAAATGTTATCAACATACCATTCTTTTTGTAATTAATCTCACTTGCTGTTCTGTTTTGCATGTGTCAGTTCATGAAAGTATAACAGTGAAAACCATAATTCAAGTAAAAAAATACGATTCTAGTTAGTTAAACTTATAATTGACTATGTAAAATGCGAAGTCTTATAAGTTTTTTTTTTGTTTTGGGGTGTTTCCTCTGAATGACTCATGTGCTTATTTCCTGACATCTAATTGGTATCCCTCTGAGGTCTAGTTTATGGATCTTTGGCTAAACCTGTTGTGATCAGTTGCAGGGACTGACCAGATAAGACTCTTTATCATGATGTGATGTGAACTGTACTCTGGGATTTGCCTTGTCCTGCAGACAGGCTGGCTGTTGATCAGATCAGGAATAAACTCTTAGTCCTGATAACAAAGGTCGGGTAACCAAGGGAGAACTAACATGCTTTTAATGCAGGGATCATTTGTAGCAAGGATTTAGTGTCACCAAGTAGTCAATTATAGCTGAAAAAATAAATGTTGCTAGGGACTGACATTCTTGGTTAAATAAATTACATTTTTGCATGCATGCGTGCACATCCATGTGTGCTTTTCATTTTAAAAAATAAAAGGATTCCTCTTTGCAGAGAAAGCAGATGTTCTGCTCCTGAGAGTTGGATTACCTTCACATTTCCATCTTCAGCTCTCAGAAATTGAGTTCCACGAGATTATCGGCTCAGGTAACCTATGAAAATATTAGTCTGCTTTGGTTTAATGAGCTCAACATGATGTGTTTATTTATTTCTCTTAAACAATTTTAGGTTCCTTTGGAAAAGTATATAAAGGACGATGCAGGAATAAAATAGTGGCCATAAAACGGTGAGCAAGCAAATGAGAAAACTAAACATCCAGGTGGAACTATGAACTTTGAGAAGGGCATGGATGGTGAGCCCCTCGGTTTTGATTGATCTGCTCACTGAGGATTTCCTGTTGCTACTGTTTCCAGTTACCGAGCCAACACCTACTGCTCCAAGTCAGATGTGGATATGTTCTGCCGAGAGGTGTCCATTCTCTGCCGGCTCAATCACCCCTGTGTAATCCAGCTTGTGGGTGCCTGCTTGAATGACCCCAGCCAGTTTGCTATTGTCACTCAGTACATATCAGGAGGTTCTCTGTTCTCTGTCCTTCATGAACAGAAGAGGTACGGGTCTCTTGTTCTCAGTTATTATTTTACATGTCGTTGGAATCCCCCTTGCAATGAACACGGCAGAGGCTTTTGGCCTGGGGTAAGACTTTGCCATCTGAAATCTCTGAGTACTAGGAAATATGGCATTTTAAAGATGGCTCATAATTTATGTCCAATAATTGGCTAATAGAAATACTTCGGTGCTTTCTTAAGTGGAATTCAGTTGAAGATAACCAATTCAAGGAATTTAAATTAGTAACTGAAACTTACAATCATTAGGCCAAATTTGACTTATCAATAGAGCACATATATGTAAACTTAGATAAAATAATTGCCAGGGTCCCAGTGTTTATTTTACATGGTTTTTAAAAAGAATGGTCTTGTACAAGTCTAATTTGAATTCATTTTATAGATCTATACATGCAATAATTAGATGTGATTGTACTCAGTAAGTATAGTAGATTTCATTTTTGTGATAGTACAAAGAAATTTAGCATAGTATTACAAATATTATAAAATCAAGCAGAATATTTTAAGTAAAAGAGTTTGGTATCTGAATTAATCTATAATTAAATATAATCTGATGTATAAAAGCTATTTTTCAAGATTTGTGGAATTTTTGGCTTATTTCTTAGTAAAGCCAAAATAGACTGAAACTATACAGAAAAACAAATCACATGCATCATTGATATCTTTTAGAAATATATGGTATTGGCTTTGACCATTTCACCCTCATTAAATGTTTTTTTTTAATTCCAGGATTCTTGACTTGCAGTCTAAATTAATTATTGCAGTAGACGTTGCCAAAGGTATGGAGTACCTCCACAACCTGACACAGCCAATTATACATCGTGACTTGAACAGGTATTTTTTTCCCTTAAGTTATGAACTTAGAATTGTGTAACTGACTAGGAAGTGAAGACATATCTCAGTGAAGATACATTATAGATTTATTACAGATCAGGGTTTTCTGCTCTGTGAGTAAGGCAACAGGCCACCATGAGCTTAGGTAATACAAAGTTTTGTCATTGTGTTTTACAGAAATAAAAATCTATGTAACAACCTCTCAGGAATCTTTTACATCTATTAGAAATTTCCACAAAGGTAGTGATATCTGTAAGATTCACCAGCTAACTGGTTCTTAGGTCAGTAAAGTCAGATCAAGGTTTGAAATCAATCACTATTATAGAATGTCATGTCTTAAAAAAAGTCAGGTGCTACAGAGAGATCTGGTACGAAATTACCTGAAACAATGCATTTGTGGTACCCCTGTGGTATTTTTGTAATTGCAATTCAGCTAAAAAACGGCGGGTCGTCTACCTAGTTTTTAATGTAAAAATGTTTTCATGTGGAATAGAGGCTAGAAACAAGTGTAGGATTAGAGAGTTCCAGAGACAGAATCACAAAGGATTTCAAAAATATGTCTTTTAATACAGTGAAAGCTTTCTCTACACAAAGTCCTAGAGGATGGCCAGTAACAAAATGGAGCAGCTTTAGCTGAAGGCGGAGTGGAGGCTAGATCATTCTGTTTACTTATCATTTCCTGTTCCCAAGGGGAGAGATTCAAGAGCCATCACTGTGGAATCCCAAGGTGCTGGGGAGAATAGCTGGATAACCACTGACGTAGTTTATGAAGCAAATCAGAATGTCAAAACCAATAACTTTGATTTCATGATTTGCAATAAGGTTCATACAGAACCCACATAACTCTTTTGTACAAAGTCCGCAGATCTAAAACAACTAAATATTAATTAATTAAACAAATTACTCCACTAAGTCAGTCCTTCAATGAGAATTTAGGTAACTACAATGTCTAGAGTCTTTACACTTGGCGCACTGGAGTTTGCAAAGTATAACTGTCACTGACTCCGTTCCCAAGGAGCTTCCATACTGCACTAGAGGGAAAAATCCTTACCTAAGTATATTTTAGTTATAAAATAACAAGTTCTATAAAAGAGATAGTGAAACTTCTTTGTAAACTTTCAGAAAGAAGAAGAGTAAGTAATTCTGAGGACTTGAGAAGCAATGTCAGGGAAGAGGTGACATCCCTGAAGTGTGGATAGAATTTGGAGCAGTATTCCAGGCTTAGGGAAGACATAAAGAAAATAGAAGTTAGAATGTTAAACTCACATGGAGCAGCAATGTATAGTTTCACTGAAATGTATAAATATGTATACATAGCATATGTAATGTATGAAGCAGACTATTGGGGGAAAAGTCAGAAAAATAAATCAGAACGAGAGCACCAAAATCAGCAATGGCTTGCCTATGGTAAATTAGACTGTTCTGGAATCATCAATAAGAATGTTTGAGCTAAGAATCACAAATTTGGAACTGTCCTATGGAAAGATTAACCCAGAATCTATGTGAAAGATCAACTTGAAGGGGAAGTCAAGAAACCAGTGGAGCAGAAGTTACAGTAATGTAGATGAGAAGTAATGAAAAGCACACTTGCACCAGGGGCAGTGAAATGAAAGGAAGAGATTGACAGGAAAGACAGGAGAGAGAAAACAAAAGAAATTAGATATGAGAGTGGTCCAATCATAGTTATTGGAAGTAAACACATGAAAGACTCTATCATTGCTTACTATTTTTCATTTGAAAGTAATTTCTTCATTATTAGTCATTAGTTCTTTACCTCTCTTTCAAAAACATTTATGTTAATAAACATATTGCTTATCAGTAACAATATTTTAGAAACTGATTTAGGTAATAAAATAGCCTAATGCAACCTATTGATCTATGAGTCTTAGGGGTGTAATCTTATCACTGGAACCATTTTTGCACGTGATATTAAAATAGATTAGTGATCACTGAAAGTTTTTTTCGCTCTATAAAACCTTCATTTGGGGGGCAATTGGATGTGTGTTCTGTTGTCCTGTTCATAAGTGAAAGTTGTTACCAACAGATTGTAAAGCAGGACCAAAAATGATGTTGATTAAAAGAGAATAATATATCATCACCAATGGGCTTCATACTTTCAGGATGAAGCCCATTGGTGATGATATATTATTCTCTTTATAACTGTATGGGTTCAATTCACTAATATTTTGTGGAAGATGTCTGATCTATTTTTATGAAGGATATTGGTCTGTACATTTTTTGTACTACTCTTGTGTAGCATGGTAATTTTCAGAATTACCATTTTCAGTAGCATGGTAATTCTGGTTTCGTAAAATGAGTTGAAAAGTGTTCCACTCTATATTCTGGACAGGATTTTACACAATTGGTGTTATTTCTTCCTTAAATTTTTTGTAGAATTCTCTAGTAAAAGTATCTCAGCCATATATTTTTACTTTCCTGTCAGAAATAGCTAAGATAGTAAAGGATAAAGGAGGCCAAATACATGTTGATGAAGATGATTTGTCTTTGGTGATTGGCACGCAATGTGGTATGCGTATCATGTAGTATACAAATGTACACTTGAAACCTATAGAATCTCATTAATCAATGTCACCCCAATAAATTTAATCTAAAAATGAAAAAAGTGAAAATAAAGCATTTACTATATAAGAGATGTAAGTTTATATTTACCATGTTTTGGTCTCTAACTTTATACCAAAAAGACTTCAAGTTTGATAAAACATGACTCCATAGGTATCTTCAACCTAAAAATGCCCTGAACTATTGCATTCACTACTTATGGACTATTTGTATTTGTCTCGAATCAGGCAACACTGAAACTGTTCTTCAGATTAATGAGGATGTAGCATTACACGTGGGCCAGGTGGAGTGTAAGTCCTTTCCCTCAGAGCTCTTCCCGCAATCTGGCCAGGTACATACAACATAGGCCCAGGAAGCCATTTAACTGCCATTTGAGGTAGAAACGGTAAAGGGCCAAAACAATTAAGCAGCAGATTTCAAAGGATTTCAAGTAAGTCAAAGATCAAAGTAGAATGAAAGCTTCTTGGAGGATGGAGAGCTAAAACTAGACTTTGGAGAACAGGTATGAATCTCTCCTCAGTCTTTTTACAGCGTACTCATTCTTGCATTCCTGCAATACTTAGTCCCACTGAAAGGGCTAGAGGCAAAGGCGCGAGTCAGAACTGGAGGAACTCGGACACATGTTTGTATTCGTGTTGAAATGATCTTTCACACCTTCTCTCCCCCACCACTCTGAGCATGCCAGGACTTCAAGGGGAGAGATTCTCTTCTCTGCATCTCAGAGATGTTCAATCAATGCATTTTTAACGGAGCCAAATTCTTGGAGTGTTTCTATAAATGTCATTTTAGGGAGCAATGGCCTTATTGGTACTGGAGATAGTCTGACTAACTTGCCCAATACCTTTTACAGTTCTAAAGGAAAGGGGCTATGAGAGTCTATTGATCGGTCCAGAGAGAGGAAATATTTTTATCTTTGATTTTGTACTTGGTGATTTGTTTGATGGAAGAAAAGAGCTCTGCCTTTCCCCTGGCAAGCATCTTATGAAACAGGACTGAAAGTTAATTTTTATCTTTAGTGTACAGGAAGGAGAAGTTCAAGGAATGAGTAAGGAAGTGGTTTTTCTACTATTTATTTAGCACTCAAACTGTGGAAGGACCCCTTCTCATGCATGTTATTTAATCTCACAACAATTCTATAAAGTAGTTATTATCTCTATTTTACCAGTAAGTGAACTGATTAAAACGTGCAAGGTCACATCATTGTAGTTTTCTTAACACTGTTTTGTGTTGTCCCAACAACTGCAGCAAAACCAAGTCAGAACAGGAAGACAGAAGGAGGTTGGTGATATGGATGAGCTTCAGCCATATTTACCCACCTTGCTCTTTGTACCTCAGTCCTTACCGAGCTTAATTCTTGCAGCCAAAATCATTTTTTATATTATTTCCTTGTGCTTCTGTTTTCCTGCTTTATATCTTTTTCTACACACCATGTTCTGTTGCTATGGAGCAGAGATTGCATATGAGGCACACAGATATGTTTCCTTTGTCCCATAATGTTTAAATATTTTTAAATGTATATAGCTAGAGGCAGGGATGTATGTTCCAATGTGCTGTAGACCCCCACCACCTCCAACTTACTTATATCTGGCCCAATTTTTACCCTCATTCTGTGGCATTGGAACATGCAAAGCATGGTTTACAGCTAAAAGCTTTAAGGATTTTTGCTTAATACCAGTAAGTGTCTATGTTTTCTTGGAAAGGTATATTTTCCAAATTGTTTGACCTTAAACCATCGTTGCAAACATTTTTGGATCAAATAAATGGTCTTCTTCCTCTGTAAGTATATAGTACAGCTACACTGTGAACAATGAAATAGAAGTACTTCCATCACAGGGTAACCGTTGCACTCCCTGAGAAATGTGTATGAAAGCTTTTTAGAAGCTGTAAAGCACTATAAAAATGCCATTTGTTATTGCTATTAATGCCTCACTTGTTCTGATATGGTGAGAATGGAAAAACATTCCACAATATTCTCATACATACAGATATTTTTTTTTATATAATACAACTAATTAATTGGAGGTCTAGGGAGGTCCAGATCTGGGGAAGACTCACTGTCGGTTTTTGAGTGTCAGCCTATTCGGGTGACTATAAAGGAAAATAATTAATGATAGTCTAAAAATAGCCAACTTACTGATGACAAATGACAGCTAATTTAAAATGACAAAGCTGGTAAGGGCTAAAAGAATTTTAATTTTAAAGATGACATTTAACTAAATTAGTGAAGATTGCAGAAAATAGCAAAGAAAAATTATTGGTAAAATTTTTAATAACTGTTTTTAAGTCAAAGTGTGGATTTGCCTTTCAACTGAATACAAAATATAAAAGCCCTGCATTTTAGAAAAAACACTCAAGTACCAATAAACAAATTATTCATTTTTTTAAATTACCTGACTCTTAGGTACACTTATATTCCTCGG